TTTTAAAGAGCCTTCAGCAACTCCAGGTCTCACTGCCTCAGTTCAGGCTGTCCACAGAGGAACAGCACTCTGTGCACGCTGGTTATTGTTTCAGCTTTGTGTCCGCGGTGTTTTAGGAGCTCCTAAATGTTCTTTTATGACACGGGGCTCCAGCGTGAGAAGGGAATCTTTGAACGCCACTGGTGCGTTTTTGTGTGGACGGCTTAAACACAACCTTTTGAAAACAACGACGTCATTTATGGAACATCAAAATGCTCAAAATTACATAAATAAAACATGAAATAAGAAAAAAAAAACTTGTTTTTATTCTTTTATTCCATAATTGTGTTTTTCATGATAGTTTATTTCATAATGTTGTTTTTCAGCAGAATGACTTCAGCTGTCAATCAACGTCAGTGGGTTGGACCTGCACGCCCACTGGCTGATCCTTCATGTCCGTTAGTTTACCTGCTCACAGGTACGGCTAGTGTTAATCTTGTTATATTCAAAGAACTAAAACAGCGAGTCCTCCCGTGCGCTCTCGTGGCGCCAGTTGATTTTTTTCAGTCAACTCACTTTTTGTCACGAGTCACGACACCTGTATCCTCTGAGAACGTGATCCTCTGTTTGATCTGCTAAAGTTACCTGGGCTGAACCAAGTTCATGCAACTCTGCATCCTTCATAACTGTTGACCGAGCAAGTCGCTGCTAGCTGCTGTGCTAGCTGCTATGCTAGCTGCTGTGCTAGCTGCTGTGCTAGCTGCTGTGCTAGCTGCTGTGCTAGCTGTACCTGTGAGCAGGTAAACTAACGGATGTGCAGGATCAGCCAGTGGGCGTGAAGGTCCAACCCACTGACGTTGATTGACAGCTGAAGTCATTCTACTGAAGAGTCTATGAAATAAATAATCTGTTATGAAAAAACACAATTATGAAATAAAAGAATAAAAATGAAAACTTGTCTTATTTCATAATGTTTTATTTAATTTTGAGCATTTTGGTGTTCCAGAGTCATAGATCTACAACCCTAAACGTGCTAGTTAAAAAAAAAACATCTTTAGAAAGAGCATTCCCGTGTGGACATGGCCTCAGAAAATAATCACAGACTGTACGTCTGCAGCTGATTCATATTTGGGGTCATCTAAGTTTACGATGACCACCATGTTATCAAACACAAACATGGCTACAGTCAGTTTTACAGCTACTACCATTTGGTTTGGTGGCAGCTGAGGCTGATCCCCAACACACTCTGAGTGCTGTTTGCATGAGATCTTTGATTCAATCTGTGGAACACAAGGCTGCGAGTTTTCAGTTTCATTTATAAACAGAGTTCATGAACTACAGCTGTCAGACAAACATATGAGCTTAGTAAAAACAGTTGTCATCATTTCTTCTACAGAAAAACAACGTGGAAGAGCACCACTGTGGCAAACTTCAGTTTCTTCTTGTGCAGTAGTTCTGATACTGATGAAATGAAAGTTTCATTGTTCTAAAACAAACCTTTATTATCTCCACAGATCATTTTAATGAGAGTCTTCAGTGTCCGTTCCCTCACATGTCATCTCACAGAGTATCAGATCGGGATGAAATGTTGTCCTATGTGTCCTCCTGGTAAGAACCAAATGAGTATATTTTTAACCAGTTTTTTTTAATTAAATTTGTTTTAACATATACACCAAAAAATGTATTGTTGTGTGTACCTCATTTTTGTTTAAAACAGGTCTCTCTTGTAAATGAGTCCTCGTGACTCAGTGAGACTAACCTGTATAAATAAAGGTTGAATGAAAACTGCTGCTGATAATTTTATGTTAATGGTACAAGAAAAAACAAGCAAAAAACTGGGTTTCATAATTCCAAAGGACAGTGACTGCAGTGTGGTTTGAAGTTGAAGCTTAGAGAAACTGGATCTGTTTGACTAAAACCTGGAAGTTTAACATGTATGATTAAATAAATGACATAATCAAACTTAGACCTCAACAAAGAAAGTGGCAGAGTTGTTTGATTGTTGTCTGTTCAGTTGTTAAGCATGTTAGCTTGTTTTAGAGGTTTTAAATGCATTTTCACTTCAATGTTATTAGAGTACTTTGCCGCTGTTGTTGGGTGACGTCACGAGTGCCACAGTATGGCCGCACTGATGGGAGCTCCACTTCGACTCAATCTTCTTTTGTTCCTGTTGTTCTTGTTTTAACGGGGTTTTTTTTTTTTTTCATATGGCAAATAAACCAAATCTGATTGCAGCTCGGTGGTCAGTGCCGTGGTCTTATAATCCTGAGGCTACAGGTTTGAACCCAGGTTGATCAGGAAAGACATCTGGTGTAAAACAATTGCCAAATCGTAAACTCGTGTTCGCTAGCTGAGAAGACTCCTGAAGAAAGCAGCTGAAAGAACAACAACAGCAATAAGAGTATTTTAAATGAAATACTTGTTTTATTTTCCTGCAGGAAGCCTAGTAAAACGAGACTGTACAAAGGCCATTAACACGTTCTGTCATCCGTGTGGAAATGGGACTTATATGGCTAAAGCCAATGAACAGAAACAATGCATCTCATGTTCTATCTGTGATTCAGGTGGGTCTCTGTTTTTCACATTTTCTGTTGCAGTAGAAATAAATCTTCTCCACAGTTTATGTCTAATTTCTGCAAATAAATTCACATGTGTCTATTTTATTACTTTTCACTGGTTACTATATCTGATAAAATAAAGCTATGCTTGATTACAGCAGAACAAAAAATCAGATATTAATGTTATTAATTGACTTGTATGAATGTGAATATACAGGTGCTGTTCATAAAATTAGAATATCGTGAAAAAGTTGATTTATTTCAGTAATTCCATTCAAAAAATGAAACTTGTATATCTTATTCACACAGACTGATATATTTCAAATGTATTTATTTAAATGTTGATGATTATAACTGACAACTAATGAAGCCCCAAATTCAGTATCTCAGAAAATTTGAATATTGTGAACAGTTTCAATATTGAAGACACCTGGTGCCACACTAATCAGCTGATTAACTCAAAACACCTGCAAAGTCCTTTAAATGGTCTCAGTCTAGTTCTGTAGCTACACAATCATGGGGAAAACTGCTGACTTGACAGTTGTCCAAAAGACGACCATTGACACCTTGCACAAGGAGGTCAAGACACAAAAATCATTGCAAGAGGCTGGCTGTTCATAGAGCTCTGTGTCCAAGCACATTAATAGAGAGGTGAAGGGAAGGAAAAGACGTGGTAGAAAAAAAATGTACAAGCAATAGAGATAACTGCACCCTGGAGAGGATGGTGAAACAAAATCCATCCATCCATTTTCTTCCGCTTATCCGGGGTCGGGTCGTGGGGGTAGCAGCCTAAGTAGGGAGGCCCTGACTTCCCTCTCCCCAGCTACTTGGTCCAGCTCCTCCGGGGGAATCCTGAGACGTTCCCAGGCCAGCCAAGAAACATAGTCCCTCCAGTGTGTCCTGGGTCTTCCTCTGGGTCTCCTCCCGGTTAGGGTTAGAAACCCATTCCAAATTATGGGAGAGATTCACAAAGAGTGGACTGCAGCTGGAGTCAGTGCTTCAAGAACCACCACGCACAGACGTATGCAAGACATGGGTTTCAGCTGTCACGTTCCTTGTGTCAAGCCACTCTTGAGCAAGAGACAGCATCAGAAGCATCTCGCCTGAGACTGCTGCTGAGTGGTCCAAAGTTATGTTCTCCGATGAAAATAAATTTTGCATTTCCTTTGGAAATCAAGGTCCCAGGGACTGAAGGAATAGAGGAGAGGCACAGAATCCACGTTGCTTGAGGTCCAGTGTCAAGTTTCCACAGTCGGTGATGGTTTGGGGCCATGTCATCTGCTGGTGTTGGTCCACTGTGTTTTCTGAGGTCAAAGGTCAACGCAACCATCTACCAGGAAGTTTTAGAGACTTCATGCTTCCTGCTGCTGACCAACTTTATGGAGATGCAGATTTCATTTTCCAACAGGACTTGGCACCTGCACACAGTGTCAAAGATACCAGTACCTGGTTTAAAGGACCATGGTATCCCTGTTCTTAATTGACCAACAAACTGGCCTGACCTTAACCCCATAGAAAATCTATGAAGAGGAAGATGTGACACACCAGACCCAACAATTAGAAAAGCTGAAGGCCACGATCAGAGCAACCTGGGCTCTCAGAACACCTGAGCAGAGCCACAGACTGATGCACTCCATGCCACGACGCATTGATGCAGTAATCCAGGTGAAAGGAGCAACAACTAAGTATTGATGCTGAACATGCTCATACTTTTCATGTTTGTACTGTTCAGTTGGCCAACAGTTCTAAAAATCTTTTTTTTTAATTGGTCTAATATTTTGGGGCAACATGGTGGCGCAACTGGCAGAGCTGCTGCCTCTCAGCGAGCAGGTCCTTGGTTCAAATCCCGGTCTGGGTGCCTTTCTGGGTGGAGTTTGCATGTTCTCTCCGTGCATGCGTGGGTTTTCTCCGGGTACTCCGGTTTCCTCCCACAGACCAAAAACATGCATGTTAGGCTGATTGGTAACTCTAAATTGTCCCTAGGTGTGAGTGAGAGAGAATGGTTTTTGTCTCGTTTGTCTCTATGTGTCCTCTGATGGACTGGAGACCTGTCCAGACTTGTCCGCCCCTCGCACAGTGATTGCTGGACATGGGCACCGGCGACCCACGTGACCCAAAATGGAAGAAGCGGGTAAAAGATAATGGACGGATGGAAGTAATATTCTAATTTTCTGAGATACTGAATTTGTTGTTTTCATTAGTTGTCAGTTATAATCATCAACATTAAAAGAAATAAACATTTGAAATAGATCAGTGTGTGTAATGAATGAAAATAATATAAAAGTTTCACGTTTTGAATGAAATTACTGAAATAAATCAACGTTTTCATTATATTTTAATTTTATGGCCAGCACCTGTATTTGTTCAGTGCCCTGAGATCTTAGGCATCCCATCAATTATATGTGAAGGGGACGTGTCCCCACCACATTAAAAATAAAGTTAATTTGGACTTCCCCACATTTACCATGAAATATTAGTTCACTCTGCGCTGTTTGTCTTTCTTGGTGAACAAATCCATTGCACTTGATTATTAAGAGAATACTCAAACCACTAAAAGTCCACTCCAGGTTTTCCTGGTTACCTGCAACTCCACAGCAGCAGTGTTTCTCCCCTTGGCAGGGCACTCACAGGGGGAGGAGGTGGAGACACCTCTGTGTAGCGAGCAGATGTTACAGGGGTGGTGGTGGTGGTGGTGGGGGTAGGAATCATAAACTACATGGTTAGGATGCTTGAGAGAAGTGGAGCGCTACGTCTGTAGCTAAGTGTGTGACGCTGTAAGACGCTGCAGGTGTAAGAGACGCTGTGTGTTCAGGTGCATTAAAGTTGAAATGTCTTTAAACCCCACATCTGAATTTACACAAACCACTGGTGTACACTTTGCACACTAGTGGTGTGTGTATGTGTGTGTGCGCGTACACGTACACACGCACCACCAGTGCGTCCCCCCACATTACAAATAGTTCTGATGCCAGTGCCTGAGATAACTTCTGTTGTGATGACGCTATATAAATAAACTGAATTGAATTGAATGAATCAGAGTTTTGTCTGTTTGTGTAATGTCTTCATGTTTCAACAGGATTTGGTCTGAAGGTAAAGCAGGCGTGTACGCAGACATCAGACACAATCTGTGAACCTCTGGAGGGATTCAAACTCTGTAAACCGGGACAATACATCAGCAAAACAGGTTGGTTTATTTGTTTTTCAGATCTACGTAAAGCAAATGTTTATCAGGTAATAAATGAGTCACTCAATCCTCAGGCGTACGGACCCATGAGACCCAAACTAGACCAGAGGTGAAGTTCCACTGAGATTTTATTGTGAATGAGAAAAGCAGTAAAAATGACTGCACTTGTTGGTTTCTTCATTATTCATTAAAATGTTTGACCACAGCTGGTAGAGAACATTTTCTCAAAGTCGAACAGTTGTTTTTTCTCACTGAAGACTAATTATGAGGCGCGCCAGGAGGGCATCTTTTGAATTTTACAAACACTTAAAGTAGAAAAATCTGTCATCTTATGTTAGGACAGCTGAAGCGCAAGTGTGTCAGGCTCCACAGAGAATCTTCAGTGTTCACTTTGATCCCATGTACCACCTGATGTGTGGACGCTGAGTCAGTGTCCTCGTCTTTCTGCAGGAACGTCGTCCTCAGACACCGAGTGTTCTGACTGCAGCACAGGAACGTTTTCAGACGGATCAGTCACTTCCTGTCAGCCTCACACACGGTAAGAGATTCTCTATAATACATAAATAAACACATCTGGATGTTAACAACAGCTGGTAGGTGGTTGCGTTTGTTTTTCTGTCAAAGTGTCTCTCTGTTATTCCAGATGTGAAACGTTAAAACTTCAGCTGATAAAAGCAGGAACAGCTTCAGCTGATGCAGAATGTGGAGAGAAAAGTTTCACAGGGATTGTGACTGGAGTCGTGGTGGCTGCTGCTGCAGTACTGACTGGCCTCGCTGTAACTACGATTTTATACATAAAGAAAAAAAGAAAAAAACAGGTAAAGTCTATGACGACTCTTTGATGAATAAATAGTTTGTTTTTATATTTTACCCCTCATGAAAATGTCTGATTTTTTTCTTAGATGTTTTAGATTGTTTTAAAAATAAACCAAATAAAGATTATTCAATAGAACACGAGGTGTTTTCATTTTTATTGTTTGCTACATTTTTTATTTATTTAAATGTTTAACGTTTAAATGTTTCTCTTAATTTGTTACCAAAAAGTCCAAACCAGATCCATCAGAAGTATCACTGATGTCTCCACAGAATCCAAACATCAGAGAAGAAGGCATGGTTTTATCAGAAGTTCCATGTTGACAGAAGTTCCGACTGGATGTAGAACATTCACCACGTCCCCGACTCTCTGTGAGTCTGAGTAATCTGCAGCTGTTAGTGAGCCTCCAGCTGATGGAGGAGGAGGCACAAAATAAATCAGGAGGTTCTGATCCACTGCTGGGAGACATTTGTTCTCTTTGGTTTTAAGAACCTTTGAAGAAAAATCACTTCAGCAGCACCCTGAGACCATTTAACCTCTTCACCAAGATGTCTACTCTCTTTCTTTTCTTAGTCAACTTGTTGCATTTAGAAAAGATGCTACTTAAATGATGAATTAGCTAGCTAACCTATTCATAGCTTACTTTGCTTTTCTTCACAGGATGAAACATCTGGTGAGAGCAGGAACAGCTTCTGTTTGCAGCCTCTCTTCAGTGGATCAAAACAAGATTCAGTTCTGTGAAGCTCAGAGACTCTGAAGCTACTGGAGAACATCCAGCCCAAGGCTCACAGAAGAATACTGCCTGCTGTTGTAGCGTTGCGTTGGTGCGTCACAGCTTCACACGAGCACAGCGAGGAACAGAGACAAGAACAAAAGATTCAACTTGTGTTCAAAACCTCCTAAAGAAGATGTAAACTAGACGGAGGAGCTAAAGTCTGAAAAGGGGTAATCAAGAAAAAGTAGCAGAAATACCAGTGAGCCAAGATTAGTTCCAGCTGTTCTGCACCACAGTTCAGTTCATGACGTATGATCCAGGTACGATCAGTCACTCTGCTCCACACCAGCAGGGCGAGATGATAACATCATACGCTAAGCAACACTGTCCCATCCACATGGGGTACAGCTCAGTGTCAGTCTTCTCAGCCAGCGCACCAGAAAGAAGAAGAGTCCATGGACTTTCCTGGTGCGAGTCTGCACATCCCAACTGCACGTCCACCTCCACCAGATGCTTTAAAAGAACAGATATGGAACAGGGACTAAGAAGAGGCCTGATCGCCACCCAAATAATCCCACTGGTACCCACACGCCCCATCCATCATCTTTTACCTGCTTCTTCCATTTTAGGGTCATGGGGGTCACCGGTGCCCATGTCCATCAATCACTGTACGAGGGGTGGGGTGCACCCTGGACAGGTCTCCAGTCCATCCCAGGACCTCTTCCTCCTCATGGTCTTTGAAACCAGCCACTAGGGAGCACAAGCCAGTGTGTCTCTTGTGCCGGTCCCAAGCCCGGGTAAATGGTGAGGGTCGTCAGGAAGGTCATCCGACGAAAACACTTTTGCCAAAACTTTAATGTGAGTTCATCAAAGCGACAGCAAAACGTGCAGCAACCAAAATAAATATAAAAACCACACGGGTAAGACGCAACAAACCAAACCCCAAAAAATAAATTTACTTATCAAAAGTCCCAGTTTTCTGTGACACTATGCAGAGTTAATAATAATAATAATAATAATAATAAAATACATTATTTATATATCACCTTCCAACAACGACTTGCATCGACCAAAGTGCTTTAAAAGATAAAACAAAAACGGCACAATAAATTATTGCAAATTAAAAACAGTCACAATAAAAGGAGGTAGAGGAGATAAAAAATATTAAAATACGAAAAGTTAAACATCAAACACCGTTTAAAATAAAAGTGTCTTCAGTTTAGCTTTGAACAGAACCAGATCAGAGATGGCACGCAGCTCACGGGGAAGAGTTCCAGGCTGGTGGACCTGCAACTGAAAAAGACCGGTCCCCACATTGTTTGCACCTTGAGCAAGGCACCTCCAGCAGATACTGACCAGCAGACGGTAAAGCTCTGCTGGGCTGGTGGACTTTCAAAAGTTCTGAAATATTGGACGGTGCAAGGCCAAAGTTTTAAAAACAAACAGCAGCAGCTTGAACTGAACTGGGAGCCAGTCAAAGAAGAAAGGACATGAGTGACGTGTTCATATTTACATGTTGGTCAACCACGGCAGAGTTTAGTACAAGCTGTGAACAGGAGATAGAAGATTGATTTATACCCACATATAAGGTGTTACAGTAATCAAGCCTAGAGCTCACAAAGGCACGGATGGCCTCCAGATCATTACGGAGTGACTTTAGAAAGCAGACGAGCTGGAAGAAGCTGGTTTTCACAACAGAACTCATCTGTTTAACTTTAATACGAAGCTTCAATAAGACTGACGGGGATGAGACATGATCCGGTGATGGTGGGAAAGGACTTGAAAACACTGAATTATTTGGCAAAATCAAGCCTCAGATAACCAGCCTGTCACATCCAGCCTACCAACCAGCCTGTAAACATTAATGACAAAGCTTTTTGCTTGGCTGGAAACGAGTGTCCCAGACTTTTTAAGGTTTTTCCTCAGAGATGCAGGAGAGACCACAAGTGATGGACCAACTGGATC